CCCCCCCCCCCAGGAAGGCTGCAGCCCCGGCGGACGTGGGCCGGCAGGGCAAGAGTTAAACTGATGCACCGCTGAATTTTTTTCCTCCAAGGGAAATCAGTTGCAGAAAAAAAAATGACTTTTCTTTCCCCCCCCTCCGTCAAAAAAACCCCAAAAACACAGTTTCTACCGAGGCAAAAGTGCTTGCCAAAAAAAAAAAGACAATTTTCAATTGCCTTCCGAGGCTGGAGTAACGTTTAAGAGGGAAACAGAGAGAGAGAGAGAGAGAAGATGGTTTCATTTCACTTTTTAAGTATTAAAAATGTTTTTTTCCCTTTTTTTTAAAAAAAAGCTTTTGAAATATAAAATACAAAGGTTTTTTTTGCCGGCCCTTGTCTGGGAGATAAATTGGTTGGAGTAAGTGGTTTGAATTCAAAGTGGCCTGTTTGCAGTGGAAACGTGGAAAAATTGTTTTTGGATTTTATAAGAGCTGTATTAAAAATTTTGAAAGGCACAGAACACTCACAATAAATTCAATTTTTTATATAAAAGTCCATTAGTCTTAAAAAATACACAGCATATGAGTGTAAATGACTAATTTTTGTAGAGTGTAAGTAATTTTTTTAAAAATAAACAATTTTAGAAATTATTTTGCCCAGTATTATACTTTATGTTACTACATTTTTTATTTTACAACAATTGATTGAAATGTAATTTAAGAAACTGATTAAAATAATGGTATTATGAACTAGTATAAACAAGATAGTTTTTAAATTACAGAATTAATTAAAAAAATATTTGTTTATCCCTTAAGAAACCTAATTTAGATTTTTTTAAATTGTTCCTGTATATTTTTAAAAAAATTGCAAAAAGTTCAGTTATATACTTTCAAACATTCTTATTCAATAATTGGTTTGGTGTTTTTTTACAAAAAAACATACTGTGCAGGAAATTTGCAAGATATCCCATTTAATCTAAAATTTTCTAACAGTTTGGACTTTTTTATATACATAAAATCAATACAACTCTTGCATTTTGCTCTACCTTTTTTGCTGGGATTTTTATACAGGAAATGTAAAGAGTAAAAGGACAGAGGAACTTCTACATAATAAGCTGAGTGCAAGAATATAATATGGGTGGTGATAAAAACTGTACGTTGTCCTCTTTTAATCATATCCATGCAGCAGCTAGAAAATTTTGAGGGGTTGCGGAGGAATTTTTTTTTCTCCTCTCTGTGCAGACCTTTAAAAAAATGCACACAAAAACGGAGCAAAAGGGGGGGGGAATCTTGTGTAACCGTGGCAGGAACGACCCTCAAAGTTTAGAGTCAGTAATTGTCTAATTCTGCAATAGTGTGCCGGGTGGGGTAGAAAACCTGCCTTTGTGAAATCCTAAGTCATAATGTTTCTGCTAGAAAAGTGCGCAAAAGGGGCGACAGATCTTAAGAAGATAATTTGTTGTGTCTGTTTTGTGTGTGCGCGCTCACAAGCAGGTCCTATTAAATGGATGCTGATTCTGGTCAGATTTTCTACTTCCCTACGGTCTTGGTTTGAACAAATGGTGTTTTTAAGAGTTTGTTTTTTAAGTCTGTAATGCAGTCTTTACACCTAGAGGAGGCGACACTAAGTCAAACGGAAAAGCTCCAGGGAGTTAAAATACTGGTCTTCGTCAGCACTTTTGAGGGAAAACTTTTACTGGCATTCTAACATACAGTATGTGGAGCCTTCCCTTCCCTTCCCTGGTGCTCCATTTAAAAGAAGCAATAAAACTTTGTTGCACGAAGTGGGAGACTGCAAGTTCCTGCAAAAGTTTAAGAGCTGTGCAATAAGATGGTTAGGCTAAGAGGAGAGTTTGGAGATCCGTTATCAATATGTTAATCCTGGTTAGTTTCCAAATGATCTTTTATGAGAGGATAAAAATGGGGGAAGGAACGCGTGTGATTTAGACACCGTGATGATGAGTTAAAAAGAGGGTGCTTCTTTGGAAAACAATCTGTATTTTAAAAATTATCATTTGTGGAAGTTTGGTTTCAGTGTTTAAGCTGATGCTAGTTGAAAACATAGTGTGATACTGTTTACTTATGTTTATTTCTAAAGGTGCTAACTTGCCTTAAGCTATTTTGAAACAATATAGCAAGGAGATTGTTTTAAATTTCACTGAGGATAGATAGCAAGTGTGTGTTGGCTTCTAATTTTTTTTCTATTTCTGGTTGTAGGTCTGGCAGATAATATCAAGAGACTTTTTTTTTTCAGAAAGAGGGTGACTTAGGTAAGTCCACTCAAAATTAATAATTCTTTATTTCACTCCGCACTTTTCACATATGATTGTGGAGGTGTAAAAATGTTGATTCTTTGTACAGGGAAGAAATAGGAAAGATGAAATATTTCATGGATAGAATTATTTTTTAAAAAATTCATGCTGATATAGACAACTAGGGCACAATTCAGCGCCAGGAAGTCGTTGTGCCCTTACACAATTCAGTAGGTTTTCTCTTGGGAAGAGTTTTGCCCAGTTTCTATCACCCCAACTCATGATGTGGAGGTTTTTTTCAGCATTGTGTGGGCCACTGCAGTTCGAAAATAATGTTTGTGGCTTAGCACACAGTGCAGACTTGTGGTTAATTCATTAAGCCTATTTAAATAAACCAGGCTTCGCATGTGTGAATCCACTGTGTAGGTGTGCATATCTGCATCTCTAAAATATGTTTAGATTTCCAAAAATTAGAAACACAAGTGTTGTGAATCTTCCTTGAAATGTCGCTTAATCCAGCAAGAATCTTTTTATAACAATCATCCATACCTTAAAATGTGATGAAATGAGATGCAGGCTATGTTGGTTTCAGTTTATTCATTATCTATGTGGTTCTCTCTTTGCTTGTTGCAAATAAACTCACAAGCCACAAAGTTCTCAAAACTCAAGTTTCGCTCTGCTACAAAAGGAGTTATTAAAATGTTGGTTGGACGAGGGTTTGTGAGTAAGATGTGATAAAACTTTGAAAGTCCTTTGGCTTCTGACAAACTTCTTTCTAGATGGTTATCGTAGGCTTTTTGCTACACCAATGTCTCCCAAGCTTTGGCGGTTTTAAGATGGGTGGACTGCCAGAATTCTGGGAGCTGAAATCCACCCACCTTAAAACCACCAATCTTGAAAAACGCTGTGCTACAAAGTTGCCCCAAGTGCTCCTCTTTGGTTGAGGAACTGGTCAGCAGCCGAAGTGTTGTGGCTCAGCTGAAGATCCAAGGCTTCCATAACTGTGAAAATAATCTGGATTTAACCCTATTCTGTGTCCACAGATGACTTTTCTTCAACTCTTCAGTTGACTTCCTTTGGGTTTTCTGTTTTAATTTCAGCATGGGTTCTGCACATTAGCTGAACCTCAACGATGGAGGAGGAAGACTTTGGACAGACACTTTGGGTATGTTGTTGTTTCCCTTTGCTAGATTGACGGAGGGGGGAGGGAGGAAGGCCGACATTGTCCAGTTTATTACTTTGTCCAGTTTATTACTTTGTCCGTGGAGGTAAAAGAATGTGCCGGCCTGCAATTTGATGACTACAGCTTCAGTAAAAGTCTGGTCTACATTGCTGTTAGTAATGTCCTCCTTGCTGCAGCCAGAACATTGTCCCTTTTTTCACGTAGGATTCTCCCCTAGTTCCTACATTGGTTGAGTGTAGTAGCCACAATGAAGTTGAGTCTCTACAGAGTCTCTTTCTTAGCAGTCCATAACCCTGGTTACCGTTCATCTTCAGTCTAGTCCAACAGCTTCAAAATGCCATTGATGTAAATAATAGGTTCTCCTATCTCTAATGGGGCTCTAGAAGAAAGTTCATCTCTGGCTGGGTTTTGGCTCCAGATCCTAGATCCAGTAGCCTTGTTTCTGAATGGGAGAATTAAAATCAAAAAGGCCCATCAAAGAATGGGAGTAATCAAATTCCATCTCTCTGGGGGTACAGGGTTTTCCCCATGCAACCAGTCTCTGGGGGAGAAGGGTTTTCCCCACCTAAAAATTAGTGCTCACAACTTCCTCTCGCAGCTCAAAAGTTTGTGAGTTTTTGCATTTGTGGCTTTTATCTAAAATACGCATTAAAAGTTAGTAAGACCTTTGCTTGTGGGCTTTGATGTTTTAGCTCCTGTTGCAACGAAAGGCAAATCTCTCCCAGGAGTTCTCTTTGCATTATTTTTATCCGTCACAGGTAAGTTGACACACGTGAGTAAAATGAACAGATTTAAGAGTCACATAGGATGGTTCAGAGCAATCCCCACCTGATGGCAGCTTCTGGCTGAATTGGCTGTGATGTTTCAGTTCCCCACTTGTCCTCTCTCTGCACGTCAGGCTTTTAGCAAAAGTGACAGGCACTCCTAGGAAAGAACTCTTGGTTGCTTCTATTAGTTTCTGTGAATAGGAACTGCTACAGGGACACGGGGGTTGTAGTACCCATGTGGGCAGTGATCTGAATGTGCCATCTGATCTCCCTTCACTTTCCTGGGTTAAATCCTGCTAAGCTGTGGCAGCATTTCTCTGCTAAATCTCCACGCAGGAGAAAAAAAAACATTTTTAAATGTTGCATATAGTCCATACAAACATTCCTTAAAGCATACCTGTCCATAAAGCAGTGAAAATGGGAGACTTTTTTCAGTGGCCGTAAAGATGTCTCAAAGAAATACGATGCCATTTTGATAAACAAATTAATTCATTATAGTCAAGAATACTAAGTTTGTTTCACAGGCTACAAAAACGTGCTTGCTCGTTGTGATACTATCTATTGGCATTTTATATAACTCTATTTCTAAAGATTTGGGTTTTTTTAAAAAAAACAAAAAACAAAATAAAACCCTGAACTCTTTAAATGAATTTAGCTTTCTTCTTAGTCAGTCATGTGTTTTAAAAGCCTGCCCTGTAGAACATATTTATGGAATCACTGCACAGGAAACAATATCTAAGTTTATAATGCATTTATAAGAGGTGTAGAACTTGGGTAAATTTAAAAAAAAAGTGAATAAAGGAAATTGTGAGCATTTTAATCCAACTCAAAGTACTTTGAAGGGTTTAGATTAGGCAAGGCTGCAAAACATGCTATATACCTTAACACATAGATAAACTAAGAATTAAGTAAATCAAATAATTGGAGGGATCAGACCTTCAAGTATATAAAGTCCAGTGTGCACAGAACTTATTTAAAAAAAGGAACTTCTAACTATGCTTTTAACATGTTAAGTGTTGGTCCATAACAAATACAATTCAAAATCCATAGTTGGATTACCTTTTATCAAAACATACCAATAAATGCTTTTGTGACCGACAGCTGTCATTGTGTCTCTAGTGCATGCCAAATAAATACGAAAGGTTGATGGAAATCAATTTCTCAACTCGCTTGATTATCCAACTGAGATTGTACATGTACATTTACTCTGGAGTGAATTGAACTTGCCCTGAATCCATTGTTTGAAATGTACCACTGGCTACTGCTAGAATAGGTGCCGAATCCCTTTTGGAGGTGAATACAGGCAATTTGGCTTGATGAAGACCAATTAATTTGGGAGGCAGGCATGGAAAATCCTTAGCTTGTGTAAAACCATAGAGGCTGTGTTTCCCCATCTGATGCTATCATAGTTGTGAGTTGTTCAGTTGCCAAGAATGAGCTCTCCTAACACTTTATGGGATGCTGATTAACATTCTGTTGTTGCTCCTTGTTCCGTGGCAACTTTGAACCCTTTCTCCCTGTACACTTGGAAGTAGGGGGGGGGGGCAGCAATCCTGCTAAAATCCTGCTTCTTGCTTTGCTTTGCTTTGCACCTCGGCTTCCTTGGGGATGCTCACTCAGATGGCCAGCCTTGAGGTGGTGTAGCAGCACGACATGGTTTGTAGAGAAAAGAAGATACAGACCGTTCTGGGCTGCCTCATGACCTCAAGGATTCAGTCCAAGATAAGCCATCATCAGACACAGGAAAGCCAAGACCGTCCCAAACTTAGCTTGCCTGTCCAGGTATGTTTCAGTATGAATACTTCGAGTGGGTTCTTTTTTGAAGCTGCGCTTTCTGCCTCGAAAAGAAAATGACACGTAGACGGTAGCATCCGCCTTAACTTTCCTTTTAATTTCCCACCTCAAAGTGAAAGCAATATGGGAGATGGTTTCTGCATCACCCACATCATGAGGGTCTGATGTCTCAGCCAGGAGAACCTTCTCTGAATCCAGACTATTGGGAATGAGATAGAATTGCAAAGACAAAGGCAGGGCTGTCCAACCTTGGCAATCTTAAGATCAGCCGGCAGAAGAAGTCTGGGAGCTTCAAATTCGTTAGAGCTACTCCCAAGTCAAAAGAGACAAGATGTCAACCTGAATTGTCCTCCAGAATCCGCCGTCTGTGATCATTTTTTTTCACTGGCATCTGGCAGGGCTTGGGAGAGAGAAAAGCCCTCTTTGGTTACTCACGGGGGGGGGGGGCTACAGGAAGGGAAAGGCCTGCTGTCTGCTGTGCTTTAGCAGCACGTAAATACTGGAGTTTAGGATGGCCTCCAGTATTGCTTTGCTGCTGTAGTCAAGCTGGCACCTGCTCCAGGAAATTGGTCCTCAAGCGATGAAAAGAGCTTCGTTCGTTGTCGGCTGGTGAGGGTTTTAGGATGGGAGTTGTGATTCTCCTCAAATAAACCAACATTCCCTCCCCAAATAAAATATTCTCTCCCCAGAATGGCGAAACAAAGGCAGCATCTCCTGAGCTAAAGTCTTCTGCGCTTTGAAAAATGGACAGTTTTTTGTAGCGCTTGTACCCAAAATTGCCTTCTCCTGCTAGAGAATTTAGGGAGCTGCAACACTGGGGGCTTGCAAGGAGGGCGGAGGATCGTTCTCTGAGCTTGTGGGTTGGCTTCCGAATGTTTCGTTCCCAGGCTGGGTAACAACGCCTTCAGCGGAGTTGAGGGGGTGTCGGTGTTCCTCTGTTTATAAGGGCTTTGTGTACAAATGAGAATATTTGTAGCTGAGGATTGAACTGGGGGGTCCTTGGTGCTCTCCGAGCTTGGTGGTTTGCTTGCAGATGTTTAATTACCTAACTAGGTAACATCTTCAGCTTTAGAAAGGAGTGGGATTTGCCCTCTTTTATTATACCAATACAACCCCACTCTTGTAGCACTGATTTTCCCTAGTTGGGTAATGAAATGTCTGCAAGAAAGAAAAAAAAACCCAGCTCAGAGACCTCCAAAGATCCCACAAATAAGCAAATTTAAGGCTGCTGATTGTGGAAAGAGAGCCTATGAATATAGTAGTGTAGTAGTATATGAATATAGCATAGTCCAACTACTAGTAAGTGTTGTGGCCTTTCGTAATCAACAAGGCTGGGAATCTCCCTGAATCTTCTGTGGAAGAAGCCAGAATGTTTTCTGTAGGCGTCGGGAAGATGATAGAAGCATCAGTGTGCAATTTAGCTGATTGGATTCCTGTATCATACTAAGCAGTGGTTTATTCAATGTTTTTTTTTTAGTAAATCATAATTGGCTGGGTTCTTGTGGGGTCTTCTTGGTGCAATACCATTTTATAAAACGAATATTTGTATTAAATATCTGGTATGAACCAACCGTTGTGTGAGTGTCCCATATCTGATCTGACATAATTGGATGTTACTGTCTCCTGATTGCCCGTTTGAGTCTTCTATAAAACCAAAAAAGTACAGCCAGAAGCTCAACAGTTAGCCTGGCAGGTTGCCTAACTGTGGTTTACGGAATAAGCAACAGTTTGCCTAAGTTTGCAGGACCCGGGTTGACTCTCTTGTAATGATTCCATGCAACATTTTAAGACATAAAAGGCTTTTCTCTGGTTTTTACTTATTCCCGGTGTGTGAATTTAGCCCCTTCCTCAAAACTTCCTCTAAAAAGACTGAAACGATTTGAAGAGGTGGGGGGGGGGGGAATCAGAAATCTTGTGGTATCTTTTCCGGGGGAGGGAAAACTCCCTTTTAATAAAACGGCTGAGGCTGTCAGCGGCCCCCGGGTTCCTCCCGTCTTTTGGCTGCCTCTCACACAATCGGTCGCCGCCTGCTTTCCGGGGAGTCCTCCGGGGGGGCGGTCGAGGCTGCGGCGGCTTTGCCCGTCCAGCATTCGCTCCCCGGGGCCAGGAAGGGGGCGCGGGGCCCCGGTCGCTTCGAAGCGCCAAGCGCTTTTTCTCCCCCCCCCCCCCGGGAGAGACTTTGTCGGAGGGCGGCGCGATGGGGAGATCGGGGAGCCCGGAGAGAAATCGGGGAGGGGGGCGAGGAGCGCCCGGACCGCGGGCTTTGCCGGTCCTCGCCCGTCGGGGCTCCCGCGGCTGGCGGAGGCGGGGGAGGGAGCCGAGCCTCTCGTTGGGCCCCGGGAAACGGGGCGGCCGGCCCGGGCTCGCTTGCTGGCTTCGAGGGGAGCCCGGGCGGCTCCTCGGGTCAGGCACGGCCGGAGCCTTGGCGGGCGGCGGGATTTCCCCGGCGCTGGAGCCCCGTCGAACCGGGCCGGGGCTGACACGGCGGGGGAGCGGCCGTCGCGGGGCGGACGGGCGGGCTGGCTGAAGCGGCAGGGGGTGGACTAGAAGGCCTCCCGGGTCCCCTCCGGCTCCGGCGTTCTGCTAAGAGCGGCTCTTCCTCCTGGCCGGCCGAGGGAGCCGAAGCTTCGGGAGGCTTTCCAGGCTGGCGGCGCGGGCGGTCCTTTTGCCCGACGTGGCTCAACCTCAGAAGGCCCGGAAGCCGGCCGGGATCGAGGGCGGCCGAGCCGGACCCCGCGGGCGTCCAGGCCCTTTGGGGTCCGCTAAAGCCGAGCAGCCCCTGGGCGAGGATGCGGGGGCGGCCGCCCCTTCCGAGTGGCACCCCGGGGCCCATGTGGCTGGGCGCCTCGCCTCCCCCCCGCCCCCTCAAGGCGCTCCGTCCCCGGGAGAGGCTGGCGCGGCCCGCGGAGAGCCAGAGGCGTCGGGCGGCCCCACCCTGCCCTCTGCCGGGCTGGGCGCGGCCGGCCCGCCTGGTCCCGCTCGGAGCCCCGGCGCGCCCTCGGGGGGGGGATCTGGCCGGCCGGCCCGCCTGGTCCCGCTCGGAGCCTCGAGCGGGCCGGGGGGGGGGATCTGGCCGCCCGACGGCGCTGCTCCCTTGTCCGCCGCTGAGTCTGCGGAAGCAGCCGCGGTTTAGCCGGCCTTGGGCTTCGCTGCCTGCCGGCCAGGGAGAGCCCCGACCCGGAGAAGCCCGGTCCTTCGCGCGGGTCTCGCCTCCCGATGCCGCTGGGGGGGGGGGTTGGGCGTGGCCCGCACGGCCTACCTCGCAGGGCGCTGGTTGGGCGGCGGGAGGGGGCGCCGTCTGCCTTCCTGGCGGAAAAGCCCAGGAGAACCGGGGTGACAATGGAGGAGGAGGAGGAGGCTGGTTTCCCTCCCCCCCCCCCCCTTAAGCGAAGCGGGAAGAGCTCGGCAAGCTTCCCCCCCCCGAGTCCCGGACGGCCGTGGCGGTGTCTGGAGGGCCCCGAAGGCGCCCCGTTCGCCGCGTCTCCTTGGGCTTCCCCGGCTCCCGTCCGCACCGAGGGCGCCGCTGGCGGCCGGGCTCCGTCCCTTCCCCTCCCCTCGGGGCGCCGGGAGACCGAAGGCGGCTGGCCCGCAACGGCGGCCCCCTCGGGAGGGACGGAGGCCGCCAGGAGCCGCGCAGGGGCTTCGGGACTCCGCTCCCCTCCCGCCGGGCGACGGGCTTTCCGCGGGCGTCTCTTGCCGGCGAGGTCTGGCCCGGAGCCCCCGTTTCCTTCGCCGGCGATTTTCCTCCCGGTCCCGTCTGGTTTCCTTGCACAGGACCCGGCCGTGCCAGGCTGGAGATGCGGGGAATCTTGCGGGAAACCCAGAGAAAGGGCCGTTGTTAATTCGGGATAACTGGCGACTGAAAGGGATTTCCATTTTCCTGTGCTGGCTTTAAAACCAACTAAAACAGCCCACCTGCCAAGCTGGGCTACTTGCCTAGCTGGCCAAACCCAGAGATCCCCCCCCTCTTATGGCTCGCTTTAGAGGGTCCGCATGGGGCTTTTGAGAAAGAGGCAGATTCTGCCCCTCCGTTTGGTCTAATCCTGCTGAAGGGCACAAAACTCCGATCAGGAAGGCAAACTGCCCCTGACCGATACGGGCCTTCGCAAATTGTAAAATGTGGCACCACCAAATAGGTAGGACATCCACCTTTTTTTCCCTGTAATGCAAAAACATTAAGTAGCTAAATTTCTGACTTAGCCCAAAGTGTGAAGCTATTTGTTCTCATTTACTGATCACGTTTTACAGCTAATGTTGTACAAAACCTTTGAGATCGAGTCAATAAAGTGTTTTAAATAAATCTTATTCTAGCACCTTGCGCAAACCAAACCTGATCCTGCAGTGCTGGAGGCTCTTAACCATGGTTTGAGAAGCAAATCATGGCCTGCCTCATAAATGATAGTAAGCCACATTAGGCCCCAAACAAACCGCACCAATTTAACACAAATGTGAGCAGGGCAAGTGGCTAAACGGATCCCGTGTGTATGTGCCAGGGCTAGAAGGTTCTGACTTGACTCTGGCATGCCTAGTGCCTGACGAGGGAGCCACATCGCAGGCAGCTCTTTTAATGTGCTGCTGCTGCTGCAAATGTGCTCTGGGCCAAGGAACAGCAGAGGTCACCCTTCTGCAGCCGGCAGTAAAACATGCTTAAAACTCATTTTAAAACAACCATCCTGACCTGGGCCAGAAGGCATGGGACCCCTCTTTCTTGAAGGACTGGATGGAAAGACGAAATGGCCCCTAAAATCTTTAGCAAAAAACAGGCAATGGTGATTTTTTAGCGGCATCAGAATTAGCCAGAGTCTTGTGATGACAAGACCCCCAATGCAAAGGACTCTGAAACACACACAGGGATCAACTGGGAAGTAATGGGAAGAGAGGACTCGTTGGAAAGGACCCCGGTGTTGGGAAAGATGGAAGGCAAAAGGAGAAGGGGAGGGCAGAGGATGAGACGGTTAGATAGCGTCATTGACACAATGAACATGAATTTGGGCAAACTCAGGGTGGCACTGGGGGAGGGGGCTGGCAGGCTGCGGTCCATGGGGTTGTGAAGAGCCAGACACAACTTAGTGATTAACAACAGCAGTGAAGAACACAACGGTTCCTCAATCTGGAAAATGGGCTTTTCAGAGGAATTGCCCACTGCTGACTGACTTTGCCAGAAGCCAACAGCCTTTTCCCAAAAGGCCCAATCATCACCCATCTTCCCCCCCCACCGCCCAAGCAGGCCCAAATTCTTCCCTAAAATCATTGGCCTGGGATGAGGATGGGAAAACTGAGGCAAAAAAAAAAGAGGGCACAGCCGGTGATTGCTTTTGAGTATATGGTGGAGCCAGCTCAGCTGCCTCTTGGGAGAAACAGCTTTTATTTTAAAGTACATCCGCTTTGTGCACCTCAAACGGTCAGCGTTACAATCATGTTTTTTCTCTGACGTAAAATACGAGGACGATGGTTGGGTCTGAAAGGCAACGTAACTCAGCTGATGGAAGAAGAATGACGGAGAACACAAGCCGTGGGGAACTTGTGTGTTGCCGGCTGTATGAAGCATCCTTCGATCAGCCTTTAGCCAAAGGAGGCGAGCGGAAAACCGCGCACCGCCAGTGCAGCCAAATCCTGAACTTTTGATGTTGTCACCTTTCCCTCCCAGACCCAAACAGGCTCTTTCCTTTAACTCTGCAAAAGGCAACTAAAGCAACTCCAAAAAGCAGCTCAGCAGAACAGCATCAATGCTCCTTCAAGAACACCAAAACCATCCGAAGGTGCTCCGTGTGCCTCTTTCCCAGCACCCACCCCTGGAACAGCGGCCTGTTTACCACCCCACCCACACCCCAAATCTCAATTACATTCCATTACAATATAAAACTTAAATTACTTGTTTTTTTAAAAAATATTACTAATATAGATTTCCCATCTTAAAATGCCTTATACATTTACAGTACTTAGAACTATTTCATAAGCTGATGAGGTTTTTAAAAGGGGGGGGCAAGTGAGAAAGAGAGAGATTTGTTTTTCTTAAGGGAGGGGCTAGGAGGAGGAGATGCATAGTGCAAATTTAAAAAAAGGGAAAGTGGAAACTTCCTTAACTTCCCAAATGTAAATGAACAATATGAGTTTCCCATAACTGTACATGCAATAAGTTAGAGCAAGCGATATGACGAGAGCGAGGGAGTCACTCCACAATCTGAAGCTGGTGATTTGGCCGAAAGGCAGCCGAAGACAGGTGTCGGGTATCGGCTTCGAGGTCTCGCCGCAATCGGATGGAACCGGCCTGATCATGCCTTGTATTTCTCTTTTCCGGTCTCGCTGATCACACAGATGTGCTGAAATACAAAATGCCTCCGAATTAATAACAAGGCGGAGATCCACCAGTTGCCGAGTCTTGTATTGAAAGCCAACTTCGGAGGCGCGTTACAGGGCCGCCCTGTTCAAAGTAAACTCTCTGCCGCACCAGTTTAATAGGTAGTCCTCAGTTTACGACCATTCCTTTAGCGGTCTTCTGAACTTACAACGTGACTTAGCAACGGCCCTCAGGCTTACGACAGTTGTAGCATTCTCACAGTCACGCAATCAAAATTTCGGGCACTTGGCAAACAGTATGTGTGGTTGCCGCATCCCAGAATCAAAATGGGCCTCAGACTGAAAAAGGGGGCTGAGGGCTGTGTGAGCAGCCACGATGACTCTGGACTTTTCCAGCGTGTTGCTTAAGAACAGAAATCCGCTCCTATTGTTTCGTTTTGACCCCACGGCTAAAAGAAGCAGAGCAAGGGCACGGGGGAAACGCAGTTTTTTTGAACAAGATGATCTGTGCTAATTACTTACATTCAAATCTCTGAAGTATTCGTTATAATCTAGAGCATATCCAACCACAAACTTGTCCGGCACTTCAAAACCAACAACTGAAAAGAACCACAATAAAGCAGAAGGTTAGGCTGTGTTTGGGACAACCATGTTAATAATGTTAATTATGGTGCCACCTTGCATAACTGGTGAGTGAAGAGTGCTGCAGCAAAAATGGCACGGGCATTTTAAATAAAAATAAAACCAGGTTTGTTACCCTAAGTGGGTAAGTTAAACAAGTGGCATTTTCCTACTGTCACTCAAGGTGCTATGACGAGTAAAAGAACAGAGGAGGAAGAGCTTCCTCAATTTAGAGCGAATACACACACTGCAAAATCACACTCGACCCCAATGTTGTTAAGCTGAAACCCTAAACACAGTCATTATGGAGGAAATCTCTCAAACACAAGGGGGCCGAGCCCTGGCTTACACTCTTAGCTGCTTTGGCTTAGATTCGCTTACAAACACAGCCAGCAACCGGATTTTTCAAGGCCCAGAAAAGCTGTTCCTGTAAGTCCGCTCGGTCCTCTGCCCACAGGAGCCTCCCTCGGTTGACCAGTTTCAGCCCACTGTTTTCTGGTTTCAACAGCATTCTCTTACACCTGGGCCTCTGTTACAGTCCAGATTACACTATGATTACACAAGAGTCACTTACAATCAGGCCGGTATCCTACGCTTCGGGGTGTCCTTTTCACCAACAAGCTGTCAAAAAATCAGTCAAACCAAAGTCAGCTCATGTAACTGATAGGGCAAAAGTGATATGCAATCCTACATTCCACACTAGCTAAACCAGGGGTATCCACGCTTGGCAACTTGAGGCCTGTGGACTTCAACTCCCAGAATTCCCCAGCCATCTGGAAGCTGAAGTCCACAAGTCTTAAAGTTGCCAAGGGTTGTGTTCTGTCCTTCTTTATAGGTGTAGCAAGAAATAATCAGCAAACAGAGAGCCAGCGGGACCATCCTTGTGCAATTCTCCAGGTTTTAGGTGCACACAAAGGCTGTTTCTTGACTCGGGAGAGGAGCCGAGGAAGAACCCCAGGGCCGCGCTGCCTCCTTAGGCAAGGCAGGATGAGAAAGGGGAAACACGGCCCCACTTCCTCCCCACATAGGCCTCTGCCTTGCTGTGAACTTGAGCAGCAGGAAAGAGCAAGTGGCCCACACATGCGGCCCGATGCATTTATTTTCCACAAGCCTACAACTCTTAAGAGTGTGGTTGTGTGTGGGTTATCTCTACCGTACAGAAGCCGGTTAGTTGACTGCTTGTCTGCTATCAGTGCTACATGCCTGGTCAAGGTCTGAGCATGACCAACCCTGGAGTAGCTTGTTATGGGCAACAGAAACCGGCAGGGGCTCAGCTTTCTGGTCCGGATCAGCAGCTACACCTTTCTTGTGAAATGCAGCGGATCAAACATCCTGAAAATGTTTGCTGGCTCAAAGGGAAAATCCGTAAGCCAAAAGGTGAGTCCCTGGTAAGACAGCCAGAGGTGCCACATTGGGAAATGGACTGCCTCCTGTCCCGGTCCATGCAGCTCCTGGATAAGGTTTCCCCCAATCTCCCTTCATGTGGGTAGAGCGTGGGAAGCAGGGAGCAATCTTAGCGACACCTTTGCCCCACTCATGATTCCGTGCCCTTCTCAACATCACAGATCTTAAGGAACGGCCAGAAAACTTCCAGATTCTCTGGTTGCAGAGAATGAAGCCCTCTCAAGTGACCACCTGGTCTTCAGTTCATCAGCCCACAAGACAAACTACTTTAGAAGAGTCAGTTACAGCAGAACCAACCAAGATTCAGAAATGGTCCGGACACAGTTCATAAAATAATTATAATTTGCCGCAGCTTCTGGAGACAGAATGTGGAGGCCGCAGTGATCATAAATATAAAATACAGGTCTTTTGAGAGCCATGTGAGATGGACACTGATACTCTGCCCCCCCCCCCCCAATATCTTCTGTTACTAAACCCTGGTTCACTAAAGCACATGAACAAGCCCACTTCCCAAGCTCATATTTTTTTAAGGAAAACAACTGAGAACTACTGAGCAAAAAGTGACATCCTCTGCTCGGATATGATAGCTGAAACGTTTCCCCTGAAGTGGTATCACTTCAGGCTGTTGGTTCCGTCCTGCCTGGGGGGGGCTTTAAAAAATGACAGGGAGGTAGTGAAGGGCGAGCACAGACCTTGCCACTTTGACCATCTTTGGATTGTACTGCTGGAGCAGGGACAGCAGAGTCTGCATTGTCTTGCCAGTGTCGATTATATCCTGAGGAGTAAACAAACGAAATGGATTACACCACCTGGCTTTGGAGGAAAAGTACAGCAAAGTAATGCTTCGCTGGGGCACATTATGCCTGGAAAAATAATAATAAAGAGAATATATCTATAGAGGAGTTAAAACTTGGTGAAGTGTCTTTTAGGGCCTTTTATAAAGGCAAGCAAACTTTGATGCAAATGATTAATGTGCATTTGGTCACAAAGATGGTTAATAAATCTTGTTTCAAGATTGTTTCAACCGTTCTCCTCATCCCTGTTTAGGAAGAACGGGAAGAAATGGATAAGTTTGAAGTTGCCTTGAAATTTGCAGCTGAAAGGTGATTCCAATCCACACAGCTTACTTAGACCTTACAAGGAACTCAAGGCAAAGGGCCCCAAATCATACATAAAGATAGTTAACTGCCAAATGAAGTACTTACTTCCACAATCAAGACATTCTGAAAAAGAAAAGACAGAATACCATCAGTAATTTTAGTTCAGCTTTACATTCCAACTTCTATTTTTCCTAATTTTTCCATTTTTTTACTAATCAACTACCATGTAATTATAGGTAAATGCTCCATTTATAAAACAGGCCAGGAGAAAATGGCTACAAATTGTACCTGGTGTTTAAATTATTCATGTTATTAACATCTCATTAGCGCATTCTTTGGGACTTTAAACAGATAAATTCAAACTTTAAATTCAAACAGATAAATTCTAACCACCAAGCAGTAACGATTAAAACTAAGAAAGACATTGAATTAAACGCCTTAGGAAGCACATCCTAAATGCTTTTAGTTTGCTAGCATTTTTGAATTGGTTTAAGTACTTCCTCGTGGCCAAAACTAACAAATGTTTTCGAACATACATCTAGAGAACAACTTTTTAAAACAGGAACTGTATGGTTGAACTTAGAAAAGGGATCACTTGAGACATCTGGAAGGCTTCGGAAAAATCTGTTTCTTTTTGGTCCCAGGATCTGGTGTTCAAAGCAACAGTGATGTGGTCAACATAGGTACCCCCTTGCTTAAAAGAGTTCATGGATTTAATTTTTCTGAGTTCATCTCCTCCCTTTCCTAAAGGAACAACCCTGCTCCCCTCACCAGAGACACAGTATACTCGGAATTGCAAAATTTACTGGGGCAGAAAGAACCCACATGATTAGCTAGCAAAGCTTTCTGAAAGCCAGAATGCAAGGGAAACTTGGCCATGCTTTGCATGGTGTATTGTTTTTTTTTTTAATGAAATGCTTTCACCTTAATTGCATTTCATTTTAAGTACATTCTGCTGATGAACACTGTATATCCGTGTTTTCCAGAGGCCTCTGTATCCATGTTCCGTATGCCTTCTTTTCGGACATACCTTCCCAGTCAAGGTTGATAAGTCATCCCCGCCAATTACTTTTATATCGCCAGTTGACTGATCATTCTAATTTTAGGCAGGAAAAAGAAGAGAAAAAAAAAGAAGTAAAGCTGTTATTAATACTACAGGAACCTCCAGGAAAGGAAAAAAAACAAACTACAGCCCCTTTTGAAATGGAAAGTTTTTAAACATGAGCAAGGCTGTGGCTTCATCCCCCTCATAGCAAGAGGAGAAGTCGTGTTTTCTTAGCTGTGACTCAAATAAGCCCAGTGATGCATCCTGCAAACAATTTTTTTTTCTTGCCTAACCCTGCAGGCCTAATGCACACATAGCTAAGCCCCACTGATTGAAATGGGGTTTATGCCCAGGGAAATGTGCACAGACTGCTCAGAGAGAGGCACCGTCTTTATCCTTCTGTTGAGACTGTTTCTCGCCCCAACCTAGATGTCACCCCTTGTTTGCTTTGAAGCAAAAAACCAATCGTAGTTCATCCATGACTGAACTGCATGTTCACAGTTAAGATCTGAAGGAGTCAGAAGGAGCACAAACTGTTTTCAGTTGCAGCCTGTTTTTCCCCCGTTTTTTGCCACCAAGGGAAGACCTAAGTATTCCACGTGCAGCATTGTAGGGCCCACAAATTCTAGCTGGCAATAAGCCAGATTCAAAAATTGTGTCTCCAACAGACCGACTTACACAGTAACTCTTCAGGCGGATGAAGTCGACGGTCATCGGAATGGACTTGTCGCTGTTCCGATTCAGGGCTTTTATATAATCCAGTAAATCAGCAAAAAATTTGTAGCCTCCCTTGAGCACACAGAGCGCAACGATGTGGTGGCCCCCCATGCCTTTCATAATTTCCCGGGCTAGCCTCTCCGTCCTGCAGAAAAAAAGAAAAACGGAGACTTACTATAAAATAGTCCTCGACTTATGATCACAATGGAGGCCAAAATTTCTGTTGCTAAGTGAAGCGGTTGTTTAATGAGTTTTGCCCCATTTAAGACTTTTCTTTCCAGTTTTTAAGTGAATCACTGCAGTTGTTAAAGTTGGAAACACATCTGTTAAGTGAATCCGGCTTCCCCATTGACTTTGCTTGTCCGAATGTCGCAAAAGGGGATCAACGTGACCTTGGGACGCTGCAACCGCCGTAAACGTGAGTCAGTCGCCAAGTGTCTCAATTTTGATCGTGTGACCGTGGGGACGCTGCAAGTGTGAAAACCAGTCACAAATCACTTTTTTCACTGCCATTGTTAACTTTGGTCACTATACAGGGACACTCGGTGTTTGCACCCAGGTAATCCACAAAGGTGGCGAGATTAAACAAACACGGCTTCTTTACCTTCCATCTGACAGTGAATAGGACTATCGGCTGGTCAATGACATGCCTGCTTTTTCTCACTTGCCAAGGTTAGTCCAATCGTGGTGCTGCCAAACAGCCTTGATCTTCCAGGGAACTTGTGCCAAAGCAAATCTCAGCCTCCACAAAAGATATCAGGCAGCCAGCTTTTGGAAAGGAAACTGAATCCAGTTTTGCAACGGCCTGATTATCAAGGCCCGAGAGAGCTGTCCAGCAACTCAAAATCAAAGCAGCGAAATGTTTTCAGGTGGGAGAGCCACGCTTCCAAAATGTGGCAGAAAAGCAGACCACGACAGTAAGCTTGCTATGTACGTTACATTATACACCTATTTCGTTTACATCCCATATTAAGACTTGTGGACTTCAACTCCCAGAATTCCCCAGCCGGCCGATACTGGGAGTTGAAGTCCACAAGTCTTAAAGTGGTCACCGTTGGACACCCCTGTTCTACGTTATGTCTTCCAAATATCTAAGGAAGACTATTCATCGTTTGATCCCACGTTTTAGTGAAGAGAATATTATTTATGAGAAAAACTGATCAGGCAGTTGCAGAAGCTGTATTATATTGCCCAGATTGCTAGGCATCTGCTTAGTACGGATAAAAAAAAAGATTAAGATTAATACTGGGGACATTTTTAAATGTATAATGCTTGCCATTTGTGGCGGAGAGGCAGATGAACGACTGGCCTTTTCTTATCACGGATCTGGCAGAAATGTCACAAGCCGTACCTAGCAGGTATTGTGCTTGTTTCAGGGGACGCTGTCCTACGTGGGCCATGTCTCCTACTTAACGTTCCTTGGCTAAATTTATACACCTTCAGTTTCAGAGGAATGAATTATATAACTGTTCATCATGGGAAGCTCCTTAAAGCAAGTTTAAACAGCTGGTCCTCAACCTACGACCACAACTGAGCCCAAAAATTCTGTCGTTAAGTGAGATGTTTGCTAAGTGAATTCTGCCCCATTTTACGACCTTGCTTGCCACAATTGTTTAGTGATGAGTTAGTAATCCGGTCGTTAAGTGAATCTGGCTTCCCCCCACTGACTTTGCTTGCCAGAAGGGGATCATGTGACTGCAGGTCGCTGCAACGGCCGTTAAGTATGAACCAGTTGCCAAACGTCTGAATGTTGATCCCATGATCATGGCGATGCTACAACGGTCGTTAACTGTGAAAAATAGTCATAGGTCACTTTTTTCCGTGCCATTGTAACTTTGCACGGTCACTAAATGAACTGTTATAAGTCAGGGACTGCCTGTAGTAGCTTGCAGGGAACCTGCATTTCAGAATAGATCTGTGAGTCAAACAAACCTGTCCATAATGAGTCCGTGAGGAATGTAGACTTTTTCCAAATCATCCGCATAATGTTTGGGGATGCAGAACAAATCCAGGTCGTAACCTTGTTCGTCGTCTCCAATCTAAAGGGGGGAAAAAAAGGAGCCCGAGGTCAGAGGCAATGCATGACGCGTCTCTGCAGAGACCAGCCACGTCAGAAGGCAGACCTGGGTTTCCTCCCCAACCCGAGGCCATGAACCGGTGGCCTGGGGTTTCGTGCCTGGCATTTTTGGGGCAAAAATCTCAGGGTGTGGCATTTGTGCTTTTCAAAATGAGTTGATTCTTCCAGACAAAAGGGTAGCGAATTTACTGCAGGCGATCTGGACAATTCAGGTTTTCTTCATTCATGTGAAATTCAAGTATCATTTACGAAAGAAAAAATCCCTGCTGGGAAAGAATGCAGGGGAGGGTCAGCAGAGCAACTAGAGGGCTGGGCAGGCCACCATTTTTGACTTCTTGAAAAAAATGCATTTATGCAAAAGCAGCTTTGCGTACATGGAATTAAAATACAGGCTGGCCAGGTTCACTGGACTAAAGTTTAATAACCAGACTGTTTTTTGACATTCTCCTTCCTCACTGCCACACCTTTCCTCCTTTACTAAACAAATCCGAAAAGAACTGCCACACAAATGAGCTTCAAAATAAGCCATTTCTACTTGTGGCATTGCCAACCCATTTTCCTTAACTTGGATCCCGCAGAAAAATATACCAGCTGGACACTGCTCTTCACTACAATCTGTGAGGAGCTGTGTTTCCATTAAAAGCATACAGTATTTCAGAATGCAGATAACATCTGCATCCCACAAGAGATAGCATTGCGGTCTGCGACTATAGATGCACCCACATTTTATTGAAAGCAGTAAGTGAGCTTGCCACGATTTGATCTTTGGGACCCCAGTGTGTGAATATCCTCTGCAAAGAATCCAGGCACCTGCAAGGAAGGGCCTATTCAGAACCATTTAGCAAATTTTAATTATTTTTAACCTATCCAAGCCATGATTCAGTGATTCCGTACCGGACAAAATGCCATTCTAACATATTAAAACCAAAGGCGTTTGGATGCCATTAAAAAAAAATTTCACTTTTAAACTGAAGCAAGCAACATTCCACTATCATTACAACTATATTTCAGTTTATGCAAAACATATGCTGGAAGGGCTCCCTGCATCGGTGCAGGGTTTTCTTACCCAATGTTCCGTGTGCTGATATGTTACCTGAGCACCATTATATAACTAGAGAAGGAATTCCTTATAAGTCAACATCTCTTGAGAAATGTTCTGCAGATCCAAATAACCAGCTGTACTGCTGAAGCAGATCAGCACTTGGTGCACTCTCTGTTAGAATGACATAAAGCTAGACCATTTCCTCTGCTTCTTTTTAATGAATGCACGTCAGGCTCAGGCAGACTGACTAAAAAGCAGATCTCAACCCAGAAGAGCTTCTGAGGTCAGCTCAAAGAGCAATATAGAAACTAGCATGATTAATAAGCAGCAATATTCCGATCACACTGGGGTTTTATGAACTCTTACAACATCACATCTGCTCTCATTATTAGTATCCTTTTAGGATAATTCACTGTCTTTTCCACAGCCACGTGCTCTTATCTTCAGTAAAAAGGAGCACTAAAACAAATAAACCAATAAAAAGCAGCTTGGAAGTTTACAGAGTCCTCCTTATGGTGCTCTGATAAGACTGACCTTGAGAGATTTCCCCCAGGTTCAAAGCTCTAGTTTACTACTACAGATTTAACAGAAGGGAAAATCGCATAGGTACATCATCTCTGTTTTTCTTTCATCTTAAAAGCCGAGAGTCTGGTTCCGATAAGTGTCTTCTGCTAACCATTAACCTACGACGTGCTAGGGCACAAAAGACACAGGATTACTTTAAAAAGCCCTCAGTTTGTAGCTGATATTTTTCTCTCCTTATCAAGTCTGTTGGAGCAGCCCAATACTTCCTGGAAGAGTGTCGCCCCTCCCCAATTAAAAAAGAATAAAATCAAAACAGAATTTCAGACAAAAAGGAAAAGAGCCCACTGACAAGACGAGGAAGCCTTGAGGTCCAAGATCTAATGTGATCTACTGTATTTTCAAAAAGTGCTGTAGATTTTGGACCTTTGGCTTCCTCACACAAGCCCAGATCTCTTTTCCCCTGAAGGATGAAACCGCTTTAGTCAAAGCTGATACAGACATGTTCTCCAAGCCTGGAGCAGGAAGTTGCTCATCTCAGCACGTGTCTGATGAAAGAAGGCTGCTGCTGCTGCTGGTGCCCATGCCCGTTTGCTAGCGAGGATCCAATCCACCAGGCTGGGCAGGCACCCGCCAAGCGGCTTTCCAGGATTCCAGGGAAGTGGAACCTTTTGGGATCTTTTGTACGGGGACCTCTTTTTTAAGGATAGCCCCTGTCAAGGTTGCCAGGCAGGCAAAACTTTTGAACTTCCCTCCCCGATTTGCTCTGGGACAGGCGGGGACGCTGCTTGGCATCTGGGTGGCACACACACACTCCGGCTGAGGCCTTTAAAAGGACACACAAACACACCGACAGAGGGTGGTGGCGATTATAATAAGCACTTCTCCCGGCTGCAGCTTTTCCCGCGGCTGGGCGGCTCAGCAGCCTCTCCCCCCAAATCGCTCTCCGGGGTGGGGCAGCGCCCCCCTCGCCCTCCTCTGCGGCTGGCGGCTGGTTCGTGCAGCGGGCCCCTCCCGGCTGCTGGGGGGTCGGACAGGCCTGACGATCACCCGTGGCGGGGCTCCCCCAGGGCACAGCGGGCACCTTGCAGGCCGCCACCCTCTGCTCGGCGCCCCCCCCCGCCCAAAGATGGCCCCCTCCTGCTTCCTGCGGGCCATCCCCCCGGCCAAGCGGGCAGGGTCCGCTCTTTTGGGGGAGGGGGCCGAAGCAGCAATGAATGGAGGCCCGCAGGACTCCCTGGGCCGAGTTGATCTGGAGGCGCTCTGGACATGCCCAGAGACCCTTCGCCCGGCGCTTGGCCTGCTCCCTCCATTCCCTCCCTCCGGCGAGAGGCCGCCTCAGGCTTGGACGGTGGTTTCCGCCCCCCCCCCGCCNCCGCCGGTGCTGCTGTTGCTGCTGCTGCTCCTCGCGGGGTCAGCGCGCGCGCCACGCCCCGCCCCGCCCCGCCCCGCCGAACGTGCGCGAGCGGCAGGGCGGGGGCGAGCGGGGGGAGGAGGAGGAGGAGGAGGAGGGGGGGCGCGCGGGCGCCCCTGGCGGCCAGCCCGGCCGCTCAATGGCGAGGAAGGGGCGGCGGTTCCCGCCAAAGCCGGTTTACCTCAGCTAAATCCGGGTTTGGGTAAGGCGCTCCCCCCCCCTCTCCACGCAAACACACACACGCACCCCGCAATCTGGCACAGTAACGGTAATCGCGTGAGTGACCCTGTAAGCCGCTCGGCCAGATTATTATAAATTATAAATAAAAATAAGAAATGAAATGGAAGTGTAGACACTGGCGGCCTAGATAGATGTCTCTGGCCGACTCTTTTCCTTAAATCTGGTTACCTCGGCTAATCAGGGTTTGGGGAAGACACCTTCTCTCCCCCCCCCCAAATGTGGCTTAACAGTAATAATAATAATGAAATATAGGCAGCCCCCTCTTCCTTTTAATTCTGCCCCATGGTTTTGAAGATTTGACATGCTTTCGGGGTTTTTTTTTAAATTTAATTTTATTGTACTGCTTCAAGGGAGGGAGGGTCGTGTTTTACTATTTAAATAAATCCACCGGGCCCGCCCCTATGCTCAAACCCAGAAATTTAGTTTTTCTTAGCCCCCCCCCTTTCTCCCGAAATAAAATGTCCTCATCCTCAAACTCAAAATCTGGGCTGGAAATTTGGAGAGCTTGTTCAATAATACGCATCTGGAGAGCACCTACATTGGGAAAATGTGTCTTAAGGATAGATGTTTATTTTTATTTGTATCTCTTACAAATAACTCAAGGCAATGAACACATCTAAACACACTTTCCTCTATTTTCCCCACAAACACCCCAGGAGGTGGGGTGAGAGAGCGGGACTGGCCTAAGATCACCCACCTAGCTTTCATGGCTAAGGCAGGACTTGAACTCTCAGCCTCCTGCTTTCTAGCCTGGTGCCTTAGCCAACAGACCAGCCTCACTAGGTTTGCTATCTCTTCCCCTTTGCCAGTCTCAGGATCCAGACTGGGAAACCGTGCAAGAAGATCTCAGAGCTGTTAAGAACTAAACAATCTGTTTCATCTGGATATTAGTTTCTTTTAGGTCTAGGTGAATAGAGGGCCATTTCCTATAAAATTGGTAGGCAGAAAGGTGCAAGCACAAGAAATCCTTCCAAAGTTGGGCTTTTTTAAAATCTTTGTGCTGCTCTTCTGAATGGCAGATGCCTGAGAATACCGAGTACCATTTTTTAATTAACAAAAAAATATGTTAAATTGCCCTTCTTTATAAAAGACATTTGACCTCTTGCTTATAACGCCTTTTGCTTTATTCTTGCAGAAACCGTTGGTACCAGTTGCACGTGTTGCTATGGTTCTCTTGGCATGTGCTAATTTGCACCCACCTGGGAGAACACCTGTAGACTGCAAAGCCCATTGATCGGGGACTCTGTCCTTTGTTCAGCAGGTAAGACAAGAAGGGCGTGTTAAATATTATTGGTGTTTCTGGTTCCAATGGTTGCATGGTAATTCAAGGCCGTTAGTAAACGGGAGGATGAATCCTACCATCCTTCTAATTTTAATTTCCTTGCCTTGAGATTGCTAAACAAATGAATGCAGGTTCTAGACAAGCAAACTTCTACCTCTCTTTGCAGCCGTACATGGAGGAACATGTGTTATATTTACCCAAAGTTCTCTTTCAGATGCCTCGATTAAACAAAGTAAGACATGGTGATATCCTTCAAATTACTCATTAATACTTACATCATTGTTACCAGATGTGCTGGATCATTATTTTATTTCCTGATATATTTTGGCAACTACAACAACATTTTAGAACTTTTAAGTTGTTGTATCTATGCTCTAGGACTAGGTTTGATCTTCATTATTATCTGCTGTCTCTTTCTTTTGTACTGCCTATAGAATTTTGTTTTGGGGGAGATCTGAAATGTAATAAACGTAGTTATTATCAGTGCTCCTGTGCATTCTAAAGAATAAAAATTATAGCCTCTGTACAGTATGGAATAGAACACATCTCTTATGTTCCAAGAGCGAAGCCCTATGCTAGTGTGGCTGATAATTCAAAGAAATAGGGAATTGTCTGGAGCATGATGACACATGTATTTTCAAAAGATAGCTGTTTCTCCAGCGGAATGAAGGAAAAAGACAGACTGTGCTCTGAAACCCAGAAAAGCCAATTTTCCTTGTATGCCTATGCCTGCATTTAAAATAAAACCTGGATTAGTTCTAATCCTGTTTTAAAAATGCAACAAAAACTCCCAAGTGGAACTAAAGAGCCTTTTTAGGCATAGCCAAGAATTACAGGTATTTTTGAAACAAGTGCAACACTATCATTTGGTCAGAAATAAATCTTGTCATGTTTAGGATGGCTTATTTCAAGTGAGCACAAGATTACAACACATGCCTTAGGAGCAGGGTCTTCTATCTCACATACTTCCTCTTAATTTCTTGCCTGAGATAAATTTTAGACAGTAACCTTTTTAGAAGCAGGGACAACTTTTTTATATACTTCTAAGGAATACACACACATTGATAGCACTATATAAATGAATATTTACAATAGTACTATTGAAGACTTGGTGGGAAATAAGAGCAAAGTCTGTGGAGTGTGTACAATAGACTAAGTTTCGTTCTTCTATAGGGCTCTTTTGTCCTAGAAGCAAAAATGCTGTTTGGGAGAAGCTATGTTCCAACACAATTGCTGTGACCCCAGTCCAGGAAAGTAAAAAAGCAGATTTACATCTGCAGCAGGACTTGATGAAGACAACATGGCCGAATACACGACATGCTTTCTAAAGATGCCTGTAGAAAATTCCTTGCAAGCAAAAAAAAAAAAAAATACAACAGGCAACGGACTGAAACAGGACCTTTCTTCTCAGTCCAACAGAATGTACTTACAAATTTTTATACATGGCTGCAAATGATCAATATTTTGATTTTCATTGCATCTTTTCCTCTTTAAGTTATGTATGTAGGAGTGTTCCCTCACTGCACCCTCAGCAACAATTTGCTAGCAGTGAATTGGAAGGGAAACAGTGTTCTCTATGGCCTTCAAAGCAGAGTCTACTGGAGACAGCGTCTGCACCGATTTGGTCAGTCACGGACACCAAATGGCTATTGAGCAGACTCATAAGAGGACCCTTATAACTGTTAGGGTGGGTTGTGCCTTTTATTCTGGCAACTTTGGTCTACTCAGAAGGACACAAAAAGCAGAATTACACCTTTTATTGTGAAAGACTGTTTTTGTTTTAAAAGCAAAATATCTGTGATGAAATTCTAATATTATTTCAGGCAAATAATGGAATCTGATCATTTCAACACTCTGCCCTTTTATGAACTTTGCAATGTGGAAAACTACTGCAGATTGAAGTAAGACTGGAAACAGAATTTCCCATTGAAGTGGCATGTACAACATCATCCTATTTTTAACTAAGTCCACAAGGCACAGTTTCCATAGCTGTCAGCTTTTCTCATGAATATCAGAATTAAACAGGAAGTTACAATGAAGTTTCATGGTCTTAACATCCAGAAGAGCAAGAAAGTTCTACCATCTAGTCCCAATTAGTCGTTTTAAATAAATGGAATGGAAATGGGAACTCCCACTGTGGCTTTTTAAGTTATGTTTATCAAAGAACAAAGAATAGATTTCTGGGAAATCAATAATCTTTACACTAGAGAGATCAGGTATTCATTCTCCATATACAATTTCAGCACATTACTTTTATTAGTCTAACTTAAAATTCAGAAAAATGTGCAAGCTTTCTGGATCATTAACCCCAACCAACATACTTTGTTAAATTTTTGATATACCGTAGTTATAGGACATTTAAAGAACACAACACAACCCATTCTTTTGAAAAACTGCACAGCCTGCTAAAAAAATCTATTTCAGTACAAGTGGCGCCTTTAATTTTGAAAGTTACATTACAAAATAAAAAAATTGGTCAATGGAGTAAAAGCAATTAACAGATTTATTTTTATACACAACTTTCCTACTAAACTGCATTCTTCCAGGAAGTTTTCAAACCCAAATGGATTGATTTCCAACTTGAGAGCCTTAGAGGTTCTTATACACAATAGTGAGTCCCTCAAGACAATGAAATGCATTTAAAAAAAAAAAGCAGACAAAAGATTAAAAATAAAAAAATAAACAAGACATAAACAAAGATATCACAGAAAGTTTTTTTGCAGTGTCAACTGCTAGTGGATGTTCTCAGTTTTTCATCCAACTGTCAGCCTGTTCCAATCTGCTGCCTTAATCTGACATTTGAGAGATAAGAAAAATATCTGAAGAGTAAAATTGGCAGTTTGCTAACTAATTTAACTTTGTTTTTAGAATAGGTTCAACCAAAACACCTGAAGTAATTACAAGAAATACCAGGATTCTATGGCGTCAAAACTGGGATGTTAAGACTTTAACATAATTTCAGCCATCCTTGCAGGTTAACAGCACTCACTGATCTGCCAGGAAACTTTGATGAAATATCAAAACATTCTCATATAGTGGTCACAAGACACAAAATAAATACTGACCTCTTACCTCAAAAACAAAAACAAAAAGACAAGACTCGATGTCTTATTTTCATTCTTCTTACAGCATACAGGATCTATATATATATATATATAGATATATATATATATTTGGACAAAACTTGTGTTCTACACAGCACAGAGCACTTGAGGTATGATGTCCAATAGAGGGGATTAAATTCCAAAGTGAGCATTAAGCAGTAACTTGGAAATCTAAGAGAAATGGGCCAGCATTGAACACTCCCAGAAGACAACACCTTGTTTTCAGTTATTCCAGCCACAGGGTTCAAATAAAAGGAGAGCGGAAGGAAAGAATGAACCACAGCCTTTTGGCATGACTCACAGCTTACAGTCAGCAGTGGCCGGAGCGATCTCCGGGCAGTAGAATCCTCCCAACAGAGCTACGCCAAAGACTCAAAGGCAGGTGTCTCGAGCTGAGAATAGTTTTTTGTACATTGGCCATTTTGCAAAAGGGATCAGTTCATTGCCTTCTGGTTTGCTTCTGTAATTTGCATGGGAAGAACAATGTAAAATGCACACATTCTGCAGCTGTGCTATCAAAACAGGCACATCCAAGTTGTAAGTAAAAACTTCTGACAGTCGCTGTGTTCACAAAGCCACTGAACGTTTTCCAAATCAGAAATTTAATTCCAGGTCCAGGAACAGAATTTACTATTTCAACATCTGCCACAGCGTTGACATTGTACAATTTACATCTCACTGATATCGTGTTTCTCTGTGTGTGTTTCTCCAGGCACTGCAGATTACCTACATAATATTGACATGTGAAACAACTTCTGCTGAAGGCTCATACACGTGAACGTTTCTGGCAGTTCAAGGACATTTCTAACAGGCAGTAGAAAAAAAAGTTACTAAGCATTAAAAAAGATTAGTAGTTATGGATGTCTTATTCATTCCCAGTTTAACTCAGTCACTTGAAACCTATTTAATAGATGATGAGGAAAAGGTAAATTTTAAAATAGTCAAGAATAAAAGCATGTTACCAATCGAACATAACAGCAATATTTATTGACCGATGAGTGGAGTCTTCTTTAGAGTTAGATGAATTTGAGAAATCTCCCCAGTTTTTGTGCCATGGGGCTCCAGTTTTTTTTAAAAAAAAATAAAAATAAACAAAAACCACGTATTGGCATATGCTCAGCTTAAAATGTCTTACCACTAACAACAACTACATCAATTGTACAGTGGTATCTCAGGAGGAGGACTGGCAGGTGACGACTTCATACCTAATTTCCATTGAGCTGCTGCTGCTGCTGTGGAATTGCACTGTGATCAGCTACCGACTTTGCCCGGCTTTTACTTTCTCGCTCCTCATCCTCTTCATCTCGTTCATCATTTCCACTATGGTTTTTACAATAAAGCCTGGAGAAAATGTGAAAAGAAAAAAAGGATCTATTAGGGCATTTTAAGCAAGAGGCTGATCTGGCAGCCTGTAATCTCAGCCAAAGCACTCCCTGGCCTGGTTCATGCACCAGGCTGCTACATAACCTGGGTTGGCACATCCAATCAACTTTATTCAACTTCTACTTAGGTGAGGCATCTGCTATACATAAACACCAGTTCTCATCATCAACTACCTGGGAAAGGTTCACTAAACAGCTTGAAAGGAGGCAACATTGATTTTATTGCATTAAAAGCCACAAACTGAACCTAGAGTCACAAAAATGCATCACATCTCCAAGAAACATGTTGTCTCGTGTCCTCTGTCAATCCAAGAGCAGCCCATGTTTCTTAATCTAAACAAATGTAAGACCATCTCCAGCAAGCATGCTTTCCTGGCCTTAACCTGAATATACTTCCTGATTTAAAACTCCTTCAGCCGATTCAGTGCACCATTAGTTTTTACCAATGTCCTAGGTTTACAGTTTTTTTTAAGAACAAATAATGTAGCTACACGCAATCAAATGAACAAAGAGAGGTACAACTCGCTTACTTGTAAATGCCCCGTGACATGTTTTCAATGTATTTTGCTTTGTCCTGCACTCCACAATGGTAATGGTAAGTCTTGATACAAGCTTTAATTTCACATCCAATCGTAGCGCCAGACTGACTACAGAGGGTACATTTCTGTCATGAAGAGAGAAATGAAAAGAAGATGAGGGGGTGAAATAAGGCTGGGCTGGCAAGCCAGCGGCATATTTAATTTCCTTCTTGGAAAGCTTACAATTCGAATAAAATTTTCTGATAAGAGTTGAGCAGCTATTTTCCCTGATGACTGAAATGCAAACAGTACGAGCTGCAGGGTGTCCAGTCTAGAGATCTTGTGGGAAAGGACAAAACAAGCACGTTTGCGTGAAGTAACAATGTTCAGAGTTCCTTCTGGTAGGAGAGACTACTGACTCAAAAGTTTTAAAAGCAGAGATTGGCAGTCACAGTAAGGGAGCTCCAGCAGTCTTTCCTCCAAGCTGAAGGTTATAGGCCAGCACAGGAATAACAGCAAGATTAAAATTTCTGCCTAACCGCCACAGTTACTGGGCCACTCTGGTCATGTGGCTCACCGTGAGAAAAAAGAAAAGGGACTCCTATATGCATCCCTCAGATCACTGCGTGAGACAAAACAGAGGTGGAACATCAAGTTTCAAATTGAAAGGGCATACCATTCTCTTTCCGCGTTTGATTTCTTGAAGTACAGTTTTAATATCAAAATCACCAAACTCTGCCCGGGAAGTTGTTGTCAGTTGCACAGTACCAGAAGAGAACAGCTGGGAAGAAAAAGAGACATAAGGCTTCAGAAGCATAGCTGGAGCTTGGCTGAGACAAAAACCAGGGACAACTCTCAGTCCAGAAGGCTTGACTGGGGAAAGGGATCCAGAGGAGAAGCCTGCCAGGAACCCGAGATTCAGAGGCAATAAACCAGATGCTATGCAAGACTGGAGGACCCTTTTCTTGAGTGCCTCCCAATCTTCTTGGCAACAGTACTTTGGTCTGACAGACGCTGAATGCCATGTGTCCAAAAAGCCTGCTTGCTACCGAATCAGACAAGCAGCCTGCATTTACACATAACACTAAGCCATATTTTAAAACCACAATTTTTTGACAAATTAGAATCATGAGGTTCTAACTCAAGGTTAGTGTAATAATGACAGAGCCTAGCAGGGAGAGATGAAATATTTGGAAACTCCTGGCTGAGGATCTCTGGGAGTTGAAGTCCACAGGTCTTAAAGTGCCCAGGTTTGATTTAGGACTACCCAATGAACCAGAAAAGGGGAAGACACCGTTCCGTTTCTCACCATGCACTTGTAATGTGCTGCTGCCTTTTTGGCATTGAATATATGAAGCTTCCCTCTAGCTTCATTTTCTTCTTCACCTGCATGACAGAATCCACATTTAGGTTTTGTATCATTGGGGCTGCTTCTGTAGGGTGATCTGTCTCTCTGAAAGAAAAACACTTTTCTAAAATAATATGCCAGAAAAACAAATACAGTTTCTAGAGAAGGCAACTGAAAGAGAAAGCCTGGTACTTCTTTGAAGGGATTTTAACACACAAATTCCTTACATAAGAACTGCTTTCTACATCATCTGTGCCGTGCGAAGACGTTGACCGAGCATCTTCCGACTGCCCTTTAAGGCTCGTCTTTCTGGGCCTTCCTTTGCGACCCCTCTTTTTGGGAGGAGACGGATCCAGCTCACGATCATTTAGACCTTCTTCTAAATCTGCTGGGGGGGGGGGGAAGGTACAAACACACAGACAAGCAACTTGAAAGGTTTGACCTGTAATCCAATTCTGTAGACACTAGAAATTTTGGGGGAAAAGCAGCCCCATCTCAAAACAGCCGCTCTGTTTCACCATTAAAAAGACCAAAGGTTCCTCGGAAGAAGGTTACAATTATCACAGAAAAACGTTTATTATAATCCATCCTGATTTAGAGGGAGGGCTACTAATGCCAATATCCCTCTCTCTGCTCACTTCCTACTTTGCATCTGAGCCAAAGATTAGAAATTGTCAAAGTAACTCAAATTAATCTTTCATCTCTCAACATTCCTTGCAAGCGCTCTTCCACAACCCATTCCTCTTCAAATGGGTTGACTACAGTTCCCGTCCCTCCCAATCCGCTCAGTTGCTGGGGTTTGATAGGAACCCTAGCTGAGTATATCTCAAGAGCATAAGGTTTGCGGAAGAACACTCTAGAAAGGAATACAAAGAAATGCTTAACACTTTTCATGGAGAGAAAAAACCTGAGCATTTGATCCAGAGAGATGAGAACCACCACAAACTGTGAATAGCTTTACCTTCAGAATTGTGTGGTACTTTCTTGTGTTTTCGACATAATATCCTGGGAACAGAACACAAGAGAAAACCAAGTTATTTAACTATTCTGGGGCTTTAGCCAAGATAGCTACCATTAAAAAAAAGTGCTGGATCCCTTCAATTTAATGAGACATACTCACATATATATGCCTTGCGAAGGTTTCTCTCGGATTTGTGCTTGATCATGCAATGCACAATAATAGTGATACGTCTTGTGGCAGGTTTTTACATCACAGCCAATGGTTGCCCCTGGACAATGGCATAGGGAGCACTTCTGAAAGCAAAAGGAAGAGTGCTGGATTAGGGCTTCTGCTCTTCCTGTCGACAGCAACAGAGACGGGGTGGGATAACCTGGCCGGTCCTTTATTGCTATTTTAAAATGTGAACAGGGCAAGACTCCGGTTACAGCCTCCAATGAAAAGCAAAGAGAACCTTCAGAAGCTAGGCTACATTCCACAGACGACCTTCTACCTAGTAGTTGGAAGATAACCACACAGAACGTTTGGCACCATTTAACCTTCTGGGAACTAGCTGGCCAAGGACCACAACCAAGGATTTCTAAGCTTCTTCCATCTCGGATCACGGCCTCCAATTCTCCAAGTCACTTCCACTGAGATGAAGATAATAGCTCTCCACTTCACTAGAGTTAGCAGTGATGCCGCCATTGATTTTGAGAGAGCCAAAATTGTACTGTATTTATTAGAAGAGACTGCAGGTTCCAAAATAAAGCAAATGCTCTCTTTCTAAGGGTTTGAATTCTTTTGACAGGACAAAGGACAACTTTTGATTGCTGACATCTCTGCTCAGAGAAATCTCAACCTCCAGCCCACAGTCTTAAAAAGTCACTGCTACTCAGGGTTCCTACCCAGCAAGACCACACAGCTTCACGTGTTCAAAGTCATCCGGCATTTCCATCTGCAGTGTCTCCACATGCGAATATATATTAAAAATTCTGCAGATATGACTACTGCAAGATTAGTCCACTGTTTAATTAATCCAACAGTGATTTGAATGGCCACATTATATTAGTGGCAATGGAGGGATTTAACTAGAGTCTGCTGATAAATTGTGTAAAGTCTCACATGGCCTGGACCCCATTACTTCCATGATTGTCTTTATCTACTGTATACAGTCTGCCCCACATTCATAGCTCTTCAAGGGAGTTGTAATTTGCAGCTCCATCACAGACATACTTAACATTAAGCTTTAATCATGCCTTTTTGGTGGAGGGACTCGACTTTGGAGCAACTTAGTAGAAAAGTTAAAGCTAGCACCTCCCTTGGTACACCGTGATACATCTCTCCTATAAAAATGGTCTAAGCCACTTAGAGCTCAAGGTACAAATTGGCAACATATAAAAGTTTAAAATAGTCTATCCTTTTCAGAATGATCTGATGACACAAGAAAACTTCTGTTCAGGAATTTTCTGTTTTATTGACCATATGATAATATACCCATTTTTTTTGAAAGGCAGAACTTCTAAGCGGAAAAACAGCATAAATATCCATTTCTTCCACAAGATTGGATCTCTCCACATATAGTTCTACAGTTTTGTTGTTCAGATTGGGGAAGGTTTGTGCAAGGACTACCAAGACAAGATTTTAACAATGAACATCCTTAGAACATTCCATGTTTAAATTCTATTACTACCAGCAATGTTAACTTACCAGTTTTGTGCCTCTTTTTATTTCTTTCTGTACATCTTCAATGGAAAAACCTCCAAGGCTCTCGTTATCGGTGTGTGAAGACACCAGAGCAGATGAGAAAAGCTAAACATACAGAAAAAAAATTACTCAGAACTGTGTTATGCTCTTGTAGATTGGAATATATTTAATCCAACATAGGGGATCCTAGCACAGGAAAATCTTTGTCACCGTCACAGAAGCAGTACAAAGCTGGATTCCTGCAAGAGACTAGCAAGGCCATCTCTCTGAAATTATGGCTGTCTCTCAAGCTTCAATGTAACGGACACAATGTACAATCTTGTCCTAGACTGATGTTCATTCAGGAACCAGACATAACAGCTTGACAGAAATTAAAGTCACAGTAGCACCAGGTAAGCTACATCACAATGAAGAAAGGCACATGCTAAAAGTAATCATGGAGGCCTCTGGGAGAAGAAAGAGGCAAGGAAGTATTACACACCTCTTTCCTCCCTCCCTCCCCTGCAACCACCCGTCCTGCCCCCCCTCCAGAACCAGGCTCCTGGGACTTACCATACATTTATGATGGGCTGCCACCTTCTGGTTTTCAGAGAGCAACAGCTGCCCACATTCATCTTCTTTGTTGGACCGGCAGAAGCCACACTTGCGCTGCCTCCTGGGACCCTTCTTCTGTCCAATGGTACCCGACATGTTTTTTTTTTAAATGGCTTGAAGTATATGGGTTCAATCCTGCCTAAAAGTTAGAAAAACCAATCAATAAAAATGATACTTCTGTTTACCGGAGAGGCTCCTCAGTATTCCTCATCAAAGCCAGCTTCATCATTAAGCACCCAAAGGTAAATAGGGAAAGCTAGAGTGTCACTCCTCTAAGAGACCTGCATGCTTCCAAAAGTGTCATTCTACAAGGAAGAAAAAACTGTGACTCAGTGAAAAACAATAATTCTCCAAAGGCAACCTGCAAAGATTACTGCAGCGCAGGAGAGGAGATGTCACGATCCTTTGGGCTCTAGGAACAAAGCTGTCCAGCCTTTATTCTAAAGTTCTCTTCTTTTAGGATTTTCTGGAAGTGCCCATTGTATACGCATTCTAGAAAACAGGAATCTGAAAATGAATGTACTGTATATGGACACTCTTTGCATTTGTTCTAAGATAGAGCCTTAGGTAATCAATTTATATACAAGAGAAAACTGACTTGATGCCATGTTACAAACATTTTTAAAGGAATAAAAATTAGTGGAACATTTCTCCTCCAAACAGGAAGAAAATCAAAGCAAAATCATTTCATATCACAATGTCCCATCAATAAGTATCAGATTTAGGCTCCAGACACATCTGGAGCTGCAAAATGCTGTTGGCTTCATTCAGTTTTCTGGGAGACCCTCACCCTCATCTTAAATCCCAATTAATGAGAGAAGTCCCCTGGAGCACATAATTCCATGCCATCAAAGAGCATTAGGTCGAAGAGGCCAGTGCATGGCTCTTGTCTTGGTATCCAATCTAAGACTGTTGTAAGATCACGTCTTGCTGAGAATTGTGAACAGCCTCTATTAGCCATTTAATAATTTCTGGAAATTGGTTAGAAAAATGACTTATCAATACTTGTAATATCACATACTTGAAAACCCATATTGTCCAGCTTCCTGAGAATGTGCAGAATGTTCTATTTTCCCACCAGGAAAAAAACTCAGCATATAGCACTAGCATTACTTTTCTTACAGTAAAAATTCTAGCTTCACTTGCTATTCTGGAATAAGAGTATTTGTTTTGTCTTGAATAGAGATTGTTTTTAAAATAATTCTACATAGCCTTAATTTATCGGCACTTAATTTATCGGTTCTCTATGTTCTTTCCCAAAACTATTTTGTGAATGATTTCCAAAGAGGTCCAGATAGGAGAACTTTGAATACATTCTGACAAAAAAATAATAATCCAGATGTGCATTTGTGATTTTGGTACTGAAAGCTCCTTTGACAAGGTCTGAGCTAACAATGGTTTAATGTTTTTTTTAAAAAGCTTAGCAATGTTTTGCCTCACCATCACTGTGAGATGATTATTAATGTGACATGAATTCCAGAAATATGTCACACACAAACCCAAGGCTTACCTTCTCACTTGCAGCCCCACTCAGAACCCCAACTAAAGACATGCTAGACTGGGTCCTTCAGGAGGGCCACTAAGTTCTAAGCGGAGGACATCCTTATGACTTCAGCTTTGAAAAAAAATAGGGCTCTCTAGGGAAGCAAGACTACCTTTGGTGTAAGGCTTTCTCAGAAGAAGGCAAGCTTGGTTCCTTGCCCCCAAATATCTGTGGCATCGTTTGCTCTTCTAGTAGCCTCCACTGCTTTCCTCAATGGATGGTTCCCAAAGCAAGGGAGGGGGGGGGGAGAGGGGTCCTAAAAAGAAAGCTCCACAGCAGCAAGCTTTATTCAGCCCCCAAGGAGGGAAGGCAGCAATGATGTCACCTACGCTGAGGGCAAGGAGGGAAATTCAAGAGCTTGTCCACATGCTTGCTACTTTTAAGCTGCTAGTCAAGCCCCAGCATGTCCCTTTTCTAAGAGATTCATGCTTCATAGATCTCAAGACGACCAAGTACCTGGAGGAAATCCAAGGTATTCGGTTATAGGCAAAGTTTAAAACATGGTTTTCTTGGATCTGTAACCACATTTGTGACTGTGGAACTTTTGCCACAATAAATACGGTACCAACCAGCATTTCAGAAATATAGAATAACTAAAAATATTTTTTTCAGACTATAAACACTGTAAAATGTGTTTCTGAAAACGCTGATATCTGTTCTTCTACATGGCTACTTTTGTCATCCCACCCTTAATATATCTTTCAGGGTCACTTGATTATTCAGGTTCTCGACCCTTCGCTGCAGTTAGAAATTAGAAAAGACAGATGCCAATGACATCATCTTAGCCCTAAAGACATGCAGAATACAAGTAATGACAAAGCCAATTCTTCTTTTCCCAAAATGTGATGTTGGACACATAGGTTAACTGTGTGAAAAACCATTAAGTACACACTTTCACACCTACGCAGGTGTACATTATTTATATTCACAGTAGCAGGTGCAAAAGGCCTCAATGATTATAAGGGTCAATTAATCAGTAATGGGGGACAAGCATCAGAAGTCAAAGGGCAGCTTAATCAGAGCAGGGTGCGCACAACAGGGTGACAGGGACTTCTTTCACCACTTCCCCCCCCCCCCCCCCCCCCCCCCCCCCCCCCCCCCCCCCCCCCGATTTCCTACTGCCACCCAGACATAAGTCAAAGAAGAGAACTCGGTCTCTTGTGGGTTTGGGCACCATCTTTTAAGAAAGCAATGCCTTCCGTGGCTCCTTTGCAATCTGAAGGCGATACCCTCAACTTCAGAATGAAAAGGTGAGCCGCGAACCTCCCATTGGCCTCCACGAGAGGAGACCACCACCACCCTGGTCAGATTCCTCATGGCTCCAAGGACTGTGCCCTGCAAACGTGGGAACCAAGATAACCAGGAGAGAAGCATTCCCTTAAGCGCTTAAATTATACAGTTTACGGTTGAAATAAGGTGTTGGGGAGGGAGTTGTAAAGCAATAGATGCGGACAGGCATTCTTCCTTTAGGAAAGCCCCTGGCACCACTGAAGCGGTGAGAACTCCGTATTTCGGCCAGTTCAGCTCCCGGCTCAGGAGGGAGCAGTGCCAGAAACCCCCTGAACTGAGCGGGCCCAGAGGCTGAAGCCCCCACGGAGCAAAGCCAGAGCTCCCCCTTAGATCCCGGATAGGGAAACCACGTCAGCCCACCTTGTACAACTGCAGCTGCAGGGCTGCCCAAAGTGCCTGGGATGCCAACTGCAGAGCTGGCGCTCCGGCATCCCCACGTTATGAGAGCATCCAGGATTCTGTCTCCACAGCCCCTCTCCAGCTCCTGGAGAGGAGCCCCCAGGCAGGACAAGTAACCAGTGGAATAGCTTGTCTCCAGAAATCGTGGCTGCTCCATCACTGCAGGTTTTTAAGAAGAGACTGGACAGCCACTTGTCTGGAAGGATATAGGGACTCCTACTTGAGAAGGGGGCTGGACTAGAAGACCTCCAAGGTCCCTTCCAGCTCTATTCTATTCTATTCTACTCTGAGGCCAGGGGCAAAGCCCACCTCCTCACCCCCGGCAGGCGGGCAGGTCTCTTCCCCCCAGCTTGGCTTGGAAGCGCCCCCCCCCCGGACCCATCAGCCACCTCCTCTTTGAGGTAGGGGAAAAGGGGGCGGGGGCGGCGGGGCCCCCACGTCTTCTGAGGACCCACCAGCCAGCAGGGATCGCCTTCGCAGGACCGCGCCCGGCTCCTCTCCCTGGGGCCTGCGGGGACCCCTCTCCCTCGGGGGGCGGGCAGGGCTGAAGCTCCCCGGAAGCGGCGGCCCTTCGCTCTCGGACCCCTGCCCCCCAGGGAAAGGGGGTGGGGGAGGAGGGTGGTTTCCATAGCAACCGGCCGGGGTGGCGTCTGGGCGCGGGACTCACCGGGCGGCTCAGGCCGACGAGGCAGAGGGAAGCCGGGGACTCGGGGGAAGCGCCGCTCAGAACCGAACCGCGATCGCCGCCGCCGCCGCTCGCCCGCTCCCTTTCATTCGGAGGGGCAGCAGGAGAGGCGCCGCGGAGCCTGACGCCAGCACGCAAGGGACGTACGGCGCGCCACCAGCGAGCGAGCGTCCGCCGCGCGACCGGCGTCCTACGTCACCCCTTTCCCTCCCCGGGGCGCCCCCGTTGCGCACGCGCCGAGGGAAAAGGGGAAAGAAAGGGAAACACCCCTAAGGGGAGGGCGGTCGGAGAGGCGCGTGCGCAGAAGGCCGCGCGACGGTTGGGATGAGGCCAACAGCCTATTTCCTGTGTGGAAGAAAAGTCGCGCGTGCGTCTTTGCTTCCACTTCCCGGGAAGGGTTGAAGTGGGGCTTCTACGCAGGCGCATCGAAATGGAAGCAGGCGCCCGACGCAGCTGCGAAGCTACTGAGCATGCGCGAAGGTTCCTCTTGTTATTTTTAATCTATTCGGTGTCGGTCTACTTTCAAATGCGTTCCGATCAGCCGGGAATTTAAATGATTTATTTAAAGTACAATTGTTTCATTGCTTTGGGGGAAAAAAACAGAAAACCACGCGCCCCTTTATATATGTACGAAAAGTAATGAGGTCCCGTGGTGTCTGATGCCACACATGCTGGGCGTGCAAACACGTGTGGACAGAAAATCGGCGCATTTAAAACTTTTGCGGGCTTTTTGTGCTGCAAAGCAACGGCGTTTCTCGAGCTGCGGAAAGGCTCCCCCTCCTGGCCAAGGACGGCCCTGACAAGCAGTCTCCAAACAAATGAAAAAAAGGAAATTTAAACCTCCAGGAAGACTTTCCTCCAGGCTTTTTGTGGCTGGGGAATTCTAGGAGTTGAAGTCCACCCCTCTTCAAGTAGCCAAGTTTGAAAAACACCTATTTTTATACAGGATTGAAATTCAAGGTAGCCACATAACATGCATTGGATGGAAACCTATCTAACTTTCCACCTACCAGCATCTTTAAAAACAAATCTGGCTTGCCAGCCTTTTGCAAATGCTCACATGATAACACCAAGGCTAGCTTCCACCTGCCACACTAAGGCTTCATGAGAAATGGAAACGAGGACTTAATAGGATTTGCTTCCTTATGGCTTATGCCCTCTGCTGATTGGACAAGCTTCGGCAAACA